GCAATTTGTGAAATTTAGTGCCAAGTGTTGTGTTTTGATTGGGATAAATGTTGGGGTTGGATTGGTGGCATATAGATGGTTAGATTATTGACAAATGGAGGGTGGAGATGGTTGTGTGTGAGAAAGGTGGTGCTAGGGTTGGTGTATGTGACTTATTATTTTGCTTTTTGTCATTTTTCTTTTTCTCCTACACTTCATCTTCTTCCTGTAAGTAAGCCTACTCTATTGATGCCCAAGATTTAAGCTTGTTTTTCCTTGCTTTCCACTCACCTTCTTGACTAGCCATAAATTGGAGAAGAGTTGGGGACACTAAGGGATTCAAAACCCTTGTCCCTCTTTTCATTTCTTGACATTGTGAGGTTGAGGTGAGTTAGTGTTTGTACTCTTGACTTGCCATAGGAGGGTTTTATGTCGGGGACACCAAGGGCTTCAAAACCCTTGGTTTTGTTTTTGATTCCAAACACTTCGAGTTTTGGGAGCCGAATTTAGATTTGGTTTTGGAGACGTCCATAGGAGGCTTTATCGTTTCCCTCGTCTTCCTTGTCAACCCTTCAAAGTCTCATCGCATTTGGAACGTTTCTGTTTCAGTGTCATTTGAGGTTTTCACTTCAAAGTGAGGTAGAGTTGTCTTATGCTAGTAAATTGCACTTTCTTTAGGTCTTGTGGATGTGGAGAGGTGTAAAGCACGTTTAATTGTTAACTTAATACGTGAGCCATGTCTTTGCTTAGTATATATGTGATATATGCAATGTATAATGTGGAGAAATTACATCTTTATTGCATTGGGCTCATATTGGGTATTAGTATTGTTGAACATGATAGGAAGGGATGAAATTTGAGTACTTAGTTATTACATAATTGCCTAAGCATGTTTTATGGGATATGGTGTCAATATGGACATTTGGGGGAATATGTGTTTATATACATTGGATGACTTAATTAAGTGTCTATATGAGTAGTTTAGACATTTTTGTAGCATTGTGATGCATTGAGTTTATTTTATCAGGTGCATTGTGGTAATCATTTGGTTTATGGGTTGCGTATGTATGGCATACTTGACATATTTGACTGATAGATGCTATCCAATTTTGAAAAAGATGGCTCGATGCCCAAGGGTTGAGAACCCCTACTGAACATTGGCCAATGGGGTGTAGAAGTGCACCACTACATGCTCATGGCACGGAATGTGATTCCGGCATGGAACATTATCATCATACATCATGGCATTCACATGTGTGAGTGAGTCATGGCGAAATTCATGGGATTGCGTTGACTTCATAATTCATTGAGTTATGTAGACTTTATTATCATTGTGGTGTGGTGGTAGTCATTATAATGATAATGCACTATATCTGGCTCAAGACTCGTTTGTGGATATTACTTGACAGTGTGTTATATTTGATACATGATTTGCTTATGTAACTTACTTGAGTTGAGTCGGACTATCATGATAGGAAAATTAGAGTTAGGGTGTATGATCCCCTTCATTTCATGGAGTTTAGAATCTTAGGTAGCATGACCTTTCATCCTTGGGATGTCAAGCATTTCTTGTATGTCCTTGGGAATTCCAAACGACGTAATTTACTTATGTAATCCACCAATCCTACTGAGCCGTTATGCTCACCCCTATTGTATAATCATTTTTTTCAGGAAGGAAGTTGCTTGGGAAGATTTCTAAAGTTGGAGACTCATTTGACTCGTTTGTGGACTTTGATCCGTTTTTCTCTTTTTGGATGCATTTTTATGTAAATGATCCTTCATGTATTTTTTGGGATTTCCATTCCAATGTTGCACTTATTTCTTTTGTGGTTGTAATCTCATGTATTATGTTTAGGAAATGTAAGTGTAAGTAATTCCAAGATGATGTGCTTGAGGCCATACGGCCATTTTAATGTTGAGGTATGGATATTCATTTAAGAGTACATTTCAATCTTGGTTGCATCTAAACTTGGATCACTTTTGTTCTTGACATGTTTTGGGTAGATTCTTCATTTCAGACTGATTAGTACGCATGTATGATACCTAGATGATGTCCACAGCCTTCAACCTAGAAAAGGGTCATTTTTAGGCCTTTTCTAGTGTTCTACCCAAGTTGAACCGATTCAACCATTGTTTTTGGTCCATATTTGGGCTTCTTCCCAAGTTGATTCAGTGCCGCACCCCCACCCCCAGCGGAATCGGCTCAGGTTCTTGTTCACAGCACAAGTTTGACCTTTTGACTTTTGACGGCCATAACTCATTCGTTTTAACTCCGAATTAGGTCATTCTTGAACTTAAATTAACCATCTCGGAACGAGCTTTTCCAATGGCACCAATCACATTCCATAATTTTGATAATGATCTATACACTAAATTGCCCTTTGGATGAAACCATGAGGCCAACAACGTGTATTTTAGAATGAATGGTTATGATCTATACTTTCCAACAGTGGTGAAAATTCTAAAATGTGATTCTAAGATACTCTGAAAAGAATATTTAGAATATTTACAAGGCTACATTACAATTCTAGAGTATTCTGAAGAATCTTCATATGGTTACAAATTACAATACATAGATGGAAAAACGATAAATTAATAGGCGAAAATTAGACACATGTAGATTTTATTAGTAGAGGATTTTAGATAAGTACTCAAATATAAGAATTTGATTTTTACAAAATTTAGAACAAAAACTGTGATGTTTTACAATTTTTTAATACTCTGCAATTTTTTTTAAAATTCCTCTCTTTGTTTTTGTTTCTGGTAGTCACGTAGATCTCTTTGTAATAAATAGATATTAATAATCAAAGATACAATCTTTTATATATAACGAAGAATACATAATCTAATTATATGTAGGAGATCACATATACAATTTGATATATACGATGATTGAAACTTTAGTACACAACAAATATATTATATTAAGATGAAACCTATAAAAGGAATTACAAATTTCAAAATAATTAATTACCTTATATTTTGAAATGGGTTCCATTATATTTGGTACATGTGGTACATAGACTCGTGAAATAGTAGGTTTTTATTTGTCAGGATAAATAGCAGAACTCGTATTCAAGTTTTAAGAAAGAAAGATATATTTTGGATAGCTTAGTAGATACCAAGTAATTAGTTTAACAAAATATGAAAATAAAAAAATGAACGACAATTTAATGTACATTTTCTTTTGGGTTATAATTTCATTTTCACGAGTACGGATATGAAAAAAAAATTCATTCTGAAATTCAGTGTAAATTTTATTCATTGTTTTACAAATTTAACAAATATATAATATATAATAAAGTTTATATAATATATAATATATAATAAAAGTTTATATAATATATAATATATAATTTTATTTTATTTAATAAAAGATTTTATATATATATATATATGAAAGTATGTATATAAATATATAATGTGATCAAACATGTTGAATATGTTTATGGAGGCAAGACAAATTAATATATCTATGCACCATGTAATCTTTGATCTGAGAAGTGAAAACATAAAATATGTGCATCTGAAAACATGGAATTAATTCACATAATTGAGTGAAAATTAGACGGGATGGGAAACTTAATCGGGGCAGGGATGAGGTGGGAGACAGTTTTTTCCGATCTGTATTAACAACTCAACATCACTCCAACCATACACGTTAAGGTTCTTAAATTTTTAAAACATTATTGTAGAACAAGTTCATTAAGGAATCGCAAACAAATAAAATAAAAAGGTTTCTAAACCTAATAAATGGAGAGTCGTTCAGGCTCAAGAGAATAAAGCCTTGTTTGGTTAAACAGTGACTTAGTATATATATAAATTTTAGAGTACGTGTATCGACTCTACAACACATACATCATTTAAGTTATGAGTGCAATTCGAAAGCGAGATTTCAAGAACTTACCTCCTAAAATCCTGCCAACACTAATATACTCGTGGAGGCCATCATTGATCCATATACCGTCTAGTCTACACTCACTTGACATGCCACCAGACTCAAACAAGTCCAAAAACCCACTTGCATCAAAGTAGGAACATTCTCAGACTCATAATTGCGATCTATAATATATGCAATAATTTCTATTTTATTGAAAGTGATCAGATGTCCATTTATTTCTCTAGATCTAGTCACATCAAACCAAGATCCAGTGATAGAATCTGTTAATCCAAGTCCACCCACCAAGAGTTCTGATAGGTCAAGGAAAAAATGTGCATGACAAGCAACTTGTGAAGTCCAAATCCAACTATACCATTCAAAAGTGACATAACAACAATATAATAATGGAAAATAGATGCTTCCCACTTCCAAAGAAACCAACCAAAACTCTTTCCAATGCATGGTTTAGGATGATTTTACTCAAATTGGGCAATCAAGAACCTGTGGTTTGGTATTTGAATTGCTTGACAAGGGCATACAGGTAAATTGAAGTTTTCTTCACTAATAATAGACTTTTCAGTGATTCCTGGACATCAAATCTATAGCACAAAAGCAACAGAAATTGGGTGCTCCTGCTATTCCACCATCATCATCATGCATTGGCTGATATAAAGCACATTTTAAACCAAAGTGGGAGGGATTTCAGTTATATAGAAAAGAAATCGACAGCAAAATGTGGACACCCAATGAGAATGATCAATCGGAAAGAGATACTTGCGTACTTGTTACGCAACACGATACATCACTTACGCAACACGATACATCGCTTACTAATCAGCAATGATACACGATACATCGCTTACTAATCAGCAATGATACTTGTTACGCAATACAATACATCACTTGCTAATCCGCAATATAAGTTGTTGCATAAGCAATCCAGTGGTAGTAGAATAATCGATGTAAATTTGTTGTAGAATAATCGATGTAAATTTGTTGCATAGGGATAGGACATCTTGTGGCACGGGAAAGGATCCAGGTTCGAGAATGACAGTCTAAGAGCAGTCTCAGGCTGATAGCAAGTACTTTTAAAAAGATTAAAATAAACAATTGTGCAAGACTTGAAAGGAAACAATATCAGTAACTCAGACCCAAGAAAACATTTACACAAATTATTTGAAGAATCACAGCACATGACCACCAAAATTAACAGATATTTTACATACAAGACCACATAAGTTGGTCAGACCAAATGCTTGCACAAAGTGAGGAAGCCAAAAAAATAAAAAATCAAACTCTTCCAAATGGAAATTGACAATGCAGAAGTTACAAAACCACTCCTAAAAAGTCCTAGAGTTGGATTCACAACTGCCTGACCATTGCAGCAGTACCATTGAGAATTGTATGTGTTTGAAGCCATCCTTCTCCTGGAAATTCTCAAGCAGCAGCACCGAAAAGGCTCCAATCATTAACTTTGAAACTAGAGACCGCAAGTTTAAAAACCTCGGCCATTGGCATGCATCCAGATTGAGCAGCAGGTACAGCCAAACCAGCACCAACTACGCTAGCGCTTTCACTCAAAGGGCTGCAACCACAATAGTAAGAAAGCCAAAAAAAAGTGACCATGATTCCCAGAGTAACCAATTTTATCAGAATAAACATTGCAAATCTTAAATCTAAATCCGTTTTTTCAGTATGGTTACGGTAGCACTGTGACATCATGAACTGCACATAAAATGGGGACTTCACACATTGTGAGTGCTCAATCCATCCTTAAATAGTAAAACAAAATAACAGTTTTAAAGTTTACAACTAGTTTCACATCCGCAACTACTGAAAGAGGTGAGTATATCCTTCTTTATTTTCATTTTCTCGTATTGTTGACAAAAAGTTTCATACTATAGTATGGGGGCATTAGTTTATTTATTTATTTATTTTTATTTTGGCCAAGCTTATCACCAAAATCAATTAAAGCTAACCAAAACAAAATAAGAGAAGTTCCAACAATTATAAAAAAAAAAAAAACAAGTAGATGCCCAGCACAAACTAGCCCAAGTCCAACCATTTGTGTATATCTATCTGTACACCAAATGATCATCCCTGTTGCAACATTAATTAAAAGAAGAAAAAACTGAGATATCCTATTAATATAAAAACATGAAAGAATTCCTCTATTGCACACCAACAGAGATCAATTGGATTAGAAGTTGCAACAATTGACAGAAGCAATCTGCTTACAAGTATTGGCCAAAAAATTATTCTCGATACTTACCTTATCAAGATGGGCTCATATGCAGTAATTAGTACATCAGTACCAACTTCCTTGAGTCGAAGATTCGCCAAATACACCTGAAGGAGCAAAAAAAAATTACTTTCACCTGCCGTTTGACAATTTAGTGAGAGTGAAGAAAACAAGAAACAAACTTACCCTTACTATATTTTGTGCTTCCCTTCCTTGGCGTCCTTTTGAAATGGCCTATACATGATTACAACAAAAGTTAAAGTGACAGTAAATTTACAATGGATAAAAGCAGCAGAGTTAGAACAAGAAAAAAGATAATGTTAGGCTGACAGCGTGGATTTCTGTCAGCGTGCAAGCACACATGTACTCTCAAAGTCTCGTGGCCTTACCTTTACAATTCGGAGTCCCTAGACTCACTACACATCCACTTCTATTCTCTCATAGATTATCAACTGGTGCTATCACTAACTTTCCATGAAAACATTCGGCGCCAACTCTTTCCTCTTTTACAGTTGCCACTAAACATCTGAATTCAGGAAATCAACTTAAGGACTTTTTTTCTATTTCTCGCAGAGCAAAATAGAAGAAACCAAAAGAGAATATACCAAACTAATCATCAAAATCAAAAACGAACAAAATACAGGCCACTGGAAGGAAAATCTCCCTGGAGACCACCACAATAACATGATCAAGCAGAAAGGCTGGGTTTAATTCCCCAGAGAACTTGACCGTCCATTGAACCAACTCTCCTCTTGCAGATTTGTTCTCTGACTACCAGTTTGCCAGATACTTTACCGTGATCCATGAGCAAAAGCCAAAGCCATCCTAAAGATTTATTTCTTTTTTCAATATAGAAGTTGTCATCTACAATCCTCCGAAATGTTTTTACATTACAACCCATTATTATTTAGTTCCACGAGATACCAACCATTCAATCCTTTATCGAACCAAGAAAACAAAACTAGTCATGGATCTCTACAGTTCCCTTGTTGTCACTAGAAAACTACACTTGGTTAAACCTACATATCATCTAGAAGACTAGAACCAACGCAAGTAGACAAAATTAAAAATTGACCTTGATACAATCTACTGAAATTGAAAATTTTCATGCATTCTAATTAAAGCACTATCACAAAAATCCAATGACCATAGAAACCCCATTACATTAACTCTCTTCGTGGAACATATATATACTTATTTTAAGATAAAACAAAGAATGGAGTTCAGAGGGAAAACAGAGATAAAAGAAATGCAAAACATTACGCGATATGATAATGTTCTTCAGCTTAGATCCCACATCTAATGAAAATAAAAATAAAATAAAAAATAAAATAAAATAATAATAAATAATAAATAATAAATAATAAATAATAAATAATAATAATAATTAAAAAAAAAAAAAAAAAACACTACAGAGAATAACCTTAGAAATTTCAATCTCTATTCCTATCTCACACCAATTAACTCTCTCCACATGACCCCCAAATGACCCTGGTAAATTTGGGTCCAAATACAAGAAAATGCACCTTTCTATATAATACAAAACAATACCTATTTTAGAATCCAAAATAAGTTGATATTGTTGGCTCAGATCCATAAATACATGATCAGGTCCCTCAAAGATTTAGGTTGGAGGCAACTTCCCAAACCTAATAACAGAATAATATAAGGAACCATAAAATGTGAGAATTTTTGAAACACCATCACAGCAACTTTCAACCTCTCCACTCTGATTGAGGAAGTAATTTTCATCATTAATTTTCCTCAATAAATAGTTTCTGGAAACACTTCCCAAATATCCTAGTTCTTGCTTAATCAGTCTTCCCATACATACCAATCCATGATCTTGGTGGTTGTGGATCATATAAGCAACACACAAATTGTATCAATTCCTACAGAAAATACGTTTTCCTCCTTTCTTAACATCGCTCTAATTTACATGGTCATACACAATAGCACAAGCCAATCAAATTATTATTAAATATATCATCATATTATGTGAATTTTGAAACGACGTAAAAAGGCATACAAGCAAAAGAAGTTAAAACCAGTAAACAAGTAGTAATTCTTGCTACATGTAATAATATGTTCTTACCATTTGGCCAACTGCAGTTGTAACGACTGCAGGCATGTTTCTGAAACGCAGTCCATTAGCCTCAACAACTCCAGATTGCTCAATTAGCTAGGAGAGAGGAGAAAAAAAAAAAAAAAAAAAAAAAAAAAAGAAAAAGAGTTAAATATGATAATTAATCATGACTAACAATTCTCAAATCCCCTACCAAATTTATGGGAGTGTTAAGTTGTTATCCTTATGTTTTATCTCCAAACATATGATAACTAAGGAAGATACAGCCAAAAAAAAATCCATATATTTGCAATTTAAATGTAGAGCTTCATACTAACTACTTTCATTATATATAAAGAAGTTGACAAACTTATCAGGCTTGAACCAAACTGTCTTTATAGAAAACCTGCATCTATTAACAATTGCACATGATAGGTCAAGGCAGGAAGAAAACTACAGGAATTCCCCATACTCAGATAAGTGAGAGCACCAATTCTTGTACTCCACTGGGGTATGAACACAATACAGCAGTCACCACATTTTTTTTTTCCTAAGATTCTCTTCTCAACACCCTTCAGAGGCCTCTATCTACACCTCCTTCCGTGTATGTTAACATGGCAGGTATTCTTTCAGTGCTTGTGACTAGACTGCAACATGAGTTTCTTGGAAGGTGTTGAAATACCAATTATGGAGCTCAGGAAAGTATTTTTGAAAAAAAAATTATTATGGGATTTCAGTATGCATAGTATATACCATTGATAGTTTTGTTGATTTTTTAAAAAATATGGGAGTGTAGAATGCCTCTTGTTAGTTTACTATAATATGTTCATAGTTGCAATGTTCTGAGAGTTCTCTTTTCCTTCTTTCTTTTGTGTATCCATCACATGTGTATATGGGTTATGCACTGCTTTCACTCTTTAGTGTCAACTGTCCATCTACCAAAAGAAAAGAAAAGGACAAAAATACCAAGAAAGGAGAAGAAACTAACCACTTCAGTTTATTAAACCACCTAATTAGTTTTCCTTTTTTTGTTTCCCCACCATATCAAATTTGATCTTACAATACAAGAGACTCGTCATACAGACCGTAAACATCCATGATTCAGTTAAAAATAAATAAATATTGCACACCCTCATGAATGCATAATCAAAAATATCAACACATAACATTCTTAGAAGAAACCAATAAAATAATATCAATGTGGAAATTACCATGCTTCCTTCAGCATCTTGCTCTGTGGCAAGGTCTTGAAGAAACCAGGTGGCACTTCCGTTATCTGTAACATCATGCTTCAAATCTAAGAGCTCAAATATCAAGCTTTCGTCCCTTGCAGGGTCCACAAACACCTCCTTTATACCCAAAAACACAAATCACAACACACAAAACAGTCAATAATTGGTAAAACATTAATACCCAAATATGAGAATGAAAATAAATAAAAAATAAAAAAATCTTCCATAATAAAATTAAAACGAACCTGATGGTCTGGTACTTGTCGAATGTTACTCACATCCTACAATTTGAACATAAAGATTTCACATCTAATTGAATTTTATACTGAGTATGAACATAAATAAATTTAACATTTTCAATGAATAAATTATTAAATGGTTAACAACTAACCTGAAACCTAAGTGGAAACGTGCTAGCTATTGCGCCACCGAATAAAGGACGCTCTGCACAGGAATCTCCAGACATTTTTAGCAAAAATCCGAATCTCCCTTGCCCTATTCAGACCATTTCATATATATACATATATTATTTATATGGATGTGTGTGTGTATATATATATATCAAAACAAGTAGACTTATTGATTCGTTTATGTAAAATCAGCACTTAATAAACGAAACTCCGGCAATTGAGACATTGCATATAGAGAGTAATTGAGTGGTGATTGTTGAGAGTCTCACCAGTTGTTAAAAGTAGAGAGAGAGAGCGCCAAACGGTGAATACTGTTGAAATGTGGAACTGGAGAAGACGAGAAGAGTCGAGTGTCGGGTTTTATAGTGTGGGTTGAGTTCGTATGAAGCGCTATAGTATCCACCTCTGCGTAATAAACACGCAAGCCTTCACAACATTAGCTTAATAAACACGCACGAAAGAGAGAGGGACAGGAAAAGGGCAAATATATATATATATATATATATATATATATATAATAAAAAATGCGTAACCACCGACTTCTTCACTTTCACCGGAGAGCTCACCGGAGTCTCACCGCTCGTGTGGGACTGGCTTCTTGTCACGTGATGGTCTGGACTGTGGATCGTGACTGAGATTTTGGTCTAGGGTTTGGTGTTGAGATTGGTTAAGGGGCTGGGTATCAGGGTGAGTTGGGTCGGACTGTTAAAAAAAAAAAAGAGTTAATTCAACCAACACCCTCACCCTCACGTTATACTCCATTTACGTTTTATAATTCCACCTACCTCCCTTTAAGGTTTTGATTTATGTAGCACATTACCTTTTGTCGTTAAGTAACTGACGGTGTTAGAATGAACAAATTGGTACAAAGTCAATTTTACCCTTTCAATACTTGAAATGCAAATTTACAAAATTACCCTAAACTTATCAATGCAAAAAGATAACTGTGTTCTCATATCACAGAACCCAGGCTTCAGCTTTGTAAGTCGCCGGAATTGAACCCACAATATTAATCCACGCACCAAAAGATGGTGACCAAACAAGTCTGAAAGGTGTACAAGGATGACTAGGCGATGCAAAACGGGAATTGCAGCCACAGAATTTACCAGCAAGGACCGACGACAAAGCTGTTTTCGCCGGCGAGAAACGGTGAGACTGAACTGACAGGCGATGAAGCTGCTAAACTACGGTGAAGAGGACGGCGGGCATGCTTCAATAGAGGACGCCGACGCGGACGAGACTGTTTGATGGAATGAAATGACCAACATGAGGTGGACTGTGACAAGGCCGGTGAAACTTACAGTTTTGACAATGGTGACTAAGTCACAGAGCTAGGCCGAATACAACTACAGAGCTCTGGCATGTCTATGGCTGTTTTGAATTGGGTTTCACCGAGGTGCGTTGAGGAATCGCTGCTTGCCGGACTGAAATAGGAGGAACCCTTAGTTCAGTCCAAACGCTGGATCATAACGCTAGACAAGAACGAGGTAAGACAGATCAAAGACGACGGAGGCAAAGTTCACAGCTACCTCGACCCAGTTCAGTCCGGCGATCCCAAGTTCGATGAAGCTCAGTTCAGTCCGGCGAAGCATCGTGTTTTGTTCACTGCACGTTGATGGTCTCGCCTAAGCTGTTTTCCCACCTTAACCAAAACACTCCTGCGAAGTTATAGTGACTTTTTCTCTTGTATTATAATTCAGCTTCCTCAATCTCTCAGCTGCTACTTCATTTTCCCAGCCTTCTCTATCAAAATCTCTCTCTCTCTGTGCCTATATTTTTTCAAGCATAAGGCTCCTACAAGAAAGCAAAAAACAATTCAGACTCTTTCTTTCCCATTACTGTCAGATTGCAACCAAATTAAAAAAAATAATTAAAAATAATAATATAAAAAAAAAGTTGTAATTTGCTAAGTGATGTGGGAATAATATCTGCTTGAATTAGCAGAGTAGGGCAGTGGTGGGTCTTCCTTCCAAAATGGGAAGACACTCGTGCTGTTACAAACAGAAGCTAAGGAAAGGTTTGTGGTCTCGAGAGGAAGACGAGAAGCTCTTGAGTTACATCACCAAGTATGGTCATGACTGCTGGAGTTTTGTCCCAAACAGGCTAGTATGTGTGTGTGTATATATATATATATTTATCTATTTCTCTTCCATTGATTCATCGAATAATTCTTTAGTGAGTCCACTACTGCGACAATTAATTAATTAATTGTGTTTAATTTGATGATGTGTGGTACTTAATTATATTTACAAGTTTGCAAAGGTGTGGGAAGATCACTGCAGATTGAGGTGGATTAACAACTTGAGGCCTTTGTGTAATGTATATGTGTCTGCGTATTTATGTATCTGTGTATATATGTGTATGCGTATATGTACATGGTTGTTGGTGGTTGGCCGTGGTGATGGTAGGTCGAGGTCGCTTCACCCAGTTCCTTCGTTGCCGGCAATGGTGAAACACAAAGGAGAATATATATATATAGTGTGTATAATATATGTGTGTGTGAGAAAAGAGAGAAATTTAATAGTGTTAGAAGGGAGGGTGTAAAAGTCTTCTTTTATTTAAGTTATAAATTTTAATATATAATTCGAGGGTAAAATAGTAAAATTATATATTTCTGTTAATAAATTAGACGGCGGTTACTAAAGGGAGTGTAGGTGAAATTATAAAACGTAGAGGGGGTGTGTGTGAAATATTGGCAAAGTTCAGGGGGTGTAGGTGGAATTAACCCCAAAAAAAATGGGTTGGAAGCTTGCATCTGATATATCAGAGCCAGGTTTCGATCCTGGGACCTGTGGGTTATGGGCCCACCACGCTTCCGCTGCGCCACTCTGATTTGTTGGCAAGTTTTGTATTCGTAAAATATTAGTATTAAATTTTTGGTCTAGGGCAAAACTTACACAATCCATTTTCGGTCCTCTCTTCTTTGTTTTATTAATAAGTTTAATTAAGTGGCACTCAAAATGGGGTATAATTTCAAGTGAATGCTGGACATGTAAAATACAAATATATATATATATACATAGGAAAAAAAAATTCTCAGTTTGCATTTACCACTTAAAATTCAGCTTATGTAATTTTTAGCACTTCAGTATTAGGTTTTTCAAACACCACTCTCTTTATGCCTTGTACTGTATTAGCTTAGCTTGATAGTTTTTGTTTGGGTTGGTTTCGTCTCTCTTCAAAGAAAATTTTACTCACATCAATATATAATTTTAGCGGGGTAGTGAGGGAATTTAAACAGGAACTAAAAAATTTCAAAACATGGTTTTAGATTGGCATTTGTTGGGTAAAAAATTAGACTGCTCTAGATCTTTAAATTGTTACTACTTAGTAGTCCACAATCAGTGTAGCTCACAAATTGTTGATCTGAACTAAAATTATACCAACCAGGGAGTCCTTTGCAAGCTTCTAAATATATATATGTAGGTCACTCAATTCCAAATTTGTGAAGAACCACCTCCATGGAATTCCATTCAATCAAATCATTTTCAATAATAACCGACTAACCGAGTCCATGTTTAGGAGCATCGAATTCGAACATAATTTGCTCAACACAGTGGTGTAACTGGTGTTCATTACATCAGCTGCAGCCAAACCTAAATAAATGCAAAATTCAAGTCATTCAAGCATCTTTGAACATTTAATCCACGCTAATTTCCTCGTAGCCCAGCGGTTGAGTTGCTCCCCCATTGTCCTTGGGAGCCCAGCTTTGAGCCTTTTTTCCAATCCCCAACTTGCCCATTTTCTACACACAAGCAACCGATTCACTGCAACAAATTATGTTACCAATGTCAGATCCATAGTTACTCAAAGCACAGATAAAATACCGATCAAATTCCACTTTGTCAAGAGAGATTATGTTTGATAGGCTCTCTGAAAATTCGAAACTGAACAAAGAGAAGGACAATCTTCATGAGACCAACCCAGCTTGTTCATGAAAACTAAACAAAAGGAGAAACTTCCTAGGTTGAAGGTCGAGGGATCAAGTTCCCCCAGAGGAGCATGAGGATAAGTGTGTTATTTGCTAGAATATAAAAAAATTAAAAATAAAATTACCATTAAAAAAATTCAGTGACAAAACTGCATCCTTGAAAGCTACGGCTCTGAAAGAAGGATGCGATCTCTTATATCTGAGAATGTCTTAACTTCTGTTCCCCACATCCTGCTTATTCAGATCAATGATAAGTATAATGACATGAACCAAAAAGGCTATTACAATTCTAATGTTTAACCCAAATAATCTACTAAAATATCGATGGTTTTTTTTTTTTGAAAGGTACTTATGTTGATGGAAATTAAACTCTCAAAATTTTGGTAGAAACTGGTAATGGAGACAGTATAAAGCCCAGTAAGTGTGAAATCCGGCAATTAGATCAATATGCATGTTTCTATCCAGCTGTATGATGGCAGTTATCGTCACCAAAGGAGGCATGGAGCTGTACTGCAACCCAAGCTACTTGCCTCTATAGGGACGAGCTCTTTCTTTCTTTACATCAAAAAAGGTACGCAAAAGTTTTCATATGCTCAAAACTTACCAGCAGTCAATCCCAACAGCATTGGCCCCTGCTTTATCAGCCTTCTGATCATCTCCAACGTGTACTGCCTTGCTAGCCTCCACACAAATATGATCTACAATATTGCCAAAACCAAATAAATAAATAAAAGATAAAAATAAAAAAAGGAGTTGCATAATAATACACACTCTGCATATATTGCGGGAATTGCAATGACAGTATACTTAAACATTGAGAGATCCAAGCCCCATACGAACTTATAGTAGTATTTGATCAACAAAAACAAAGTATATGAGATCGTTCTTCAATCTCCCAAAGAGTTCATTGCTTGATTACCTCACACAAGCAGGACCAGCATTGGGTATGCATATATAAGATGGCAACCACAAGCAAAGGTCACCATGAAAAGTAAATTTAAGGAATATATCAAATGTAAAATAAACGCACAACCAACATCATGTCTATGAGAAAAGAACCAAGTAATCAAGTATATACCTAAAGCAGCTTTAAATATCTGCTCATCTGGTTTTTCATATCCAACTTCTGAAGATATGATAACAGCATCAAACCTAAAGGAAACCAAGAAACAATAATTATTACATCACAAAGTAATGTGCTTGGCTGCAATAATGCCGTCTATTTCTAGATGCAAGCACAGAATAGGCATGAATGGTTCCTAAAGGCTCAAAGGCATGATTATCCAGTATTAATATTAGCTTAAGAAACTGATTGAAACAAAGAGGCATTGAACAGAATAGGGAATTGATGCTTACAGATCTAAAACATTGAGGTCCTTCAATAGCTTTCTCAAGCGAGTATCAAAGTTGGACACTACAGCCAATTTAACTGTCCCACAATTCAGCACTTCAGAAGTAGAAAAGGGCAAAATTATACTATTCAAAGTCATTTAGGCTCGTTTGTTTCAACATAAAATATCTTTCTCGAAAAATATTATTCTTTTTCAGGTAAAATATTTTTTATAATTATTTTCTGGTGTTTGGCAAAGGTCTAAGTCAAGGTTGAGGTCAAATCCATCGGGTGAGGTGTGTAAAATAACTTGCCGAAAATTGATAGGTAAGTTATTTTTGTTAGGTTTTACTCTCTTTTTTTCATAAATATTTTACGACAACCAAACGCCAAAAAATAAATGAATATTTTCTAAAAAATATTTTACATCCAAACAAATGGAGCCTTAGTTTTACCAATACAATTAGTAACAGACAAAGAAAAGTACTTCTTGAATATAACCTCCAGCATCTTTCAGAATTAATATTGTTTCGTAGGCTCCAGTTGGAAGAGACCATGCATCACCTTTCGCATAGTACTGAGAAAAGCAACAAGTGCAACTTGAGATGGAAGTGTCTGCTATTAGATTTATAGTTGAATTGATCAATTATACTAAAGTAGCATGTTTTATAAGTGCCAGTGTCACAACTTCTTCCATTAAACAGCCGTAAGCAACAATAAACAACATGCTCACAATGAAAAAATCATTTTCAATAATATATAAGAAATATCACCTCATATACTTCTTCAAAATAATGCTCATCAGCACAACCAGTGGCTTCAGAAACCACAAGTTTCCAAAACGTCTTTCCATCTCCCTGTTTGAATTGAAAATATATAAAATATGTCAATAATAATAAGATGGTTTTTGTTTGTCCAAAAATGTCTGTTTCTTTACTCAAATAGATGGCTGAAATAATGTTTTTGACAGACAATGGAAGTAACAAATTAAAGTGTTTGTCTTTTGCATTGAATATCGCCTTTCTTACAGAACAATGGAACATAATACAAATTGCTCCAATAGCTAAAATACACAGATGCACATGTTATTCAATACATAAAACTGAAATGATGAAAAAACTTCCACACAATTAATTTCAGGAAATTTTTTGTCTGAAGTCTAGATTAGCATAGAAAATTACATGATTTTAGATGGAAAAGGAAAAAAAGGTGAAAAGAATTTCCTATGAAACAAATGTTGGTTGCAATCATGTAGGCTTAATATATCATCCGCGAAGAACCAATTACAGCACGATTTTTGCCAATAAACAACTTCCAATGAAACAATTAAAGCCTTTAGGAGGACCCTTAACATGAATCATCCAGTTGTGTACGTTTCAGTCCTCTCTTAATGGAAATACATTCATTCCACAAAAACATCCATAGCTCCTAAATCTAAATACAACATATCTAAAATTATTCCACCAGTACTTAAATTAAAAATAACTATTTACTAAGACTTGATTAACTACCATAGACACTTTTCTATAGACAAAAGGTCTTCTGAGTGATGTGGGGGGATTTATCTGGTAAACAAGAAAGATATGGTTGGTGATTACTTAAAAATCATATCATGTGCAGCAGTCATTGTAATCTCATATAGCATGCCATTCTTAGTTCTCTTCCAAAATGGATATGTCTTCTTTAAGGAAGCGATGGGCCAATGGCTCCGGCATCATGGATCCAAAGGAGAGACATTCAGAATGAGAATTGATTGATATCATTGACATTACACACAACATTTTTCTTTGGAATAGGTATCAGATGTTGTGTGTGTGATAGGAACATGACTTTTCTTTTCAAACGTCGGTACGAAATTCCAGACACCCTAATCTAGCAGAGATAGTTTAAGAATAATGGCCCCTCCTTTAGCTGGCTTCATCCTACCTCTTCATCTCTTTTCCAAATAGATGTTTTTGGAGGTAACATTCCACATACTCCAAGTCATGGATCCATTCTCTCAGCTATTAATGGTCATTTTGTTTTCAATAAACGAGGACAATGATAGTACTTCTCTATAGTAACTTTCTCAACTGTGGATATCAACAGCTTGCAAAGCATAAGCATATTGACTTTTATGTTGAAAAAATCCAAAAGTAAGTGGAATTATGGACATGGTTTTTTTCCCCTAGAATTACGGACATGGTCAAGGGGCAACAGAAGAAACAAAAATTAAAAAAAAATAAATAAATTCGTTGCAGGGAGAATTCATTACTTGCATACTGGAAGCAAACAAAGAAAATCTTTTATAAACAAAACCAACACGAACAAAGATAACTCACCTGGTAGCGGAGCTTCTCTGGCCATGGAGCTGCAAAAGCTCTTTTAAACCCTTGCTTGATTTCAGCTGAAGTCGTACTCAGACCTGTTAACATTGTACAAGTATGATTAAGATAATACCCAAGAACCATAATATAGACTTACCTTTCAAGCTGAAATAATTACCTACCGAAAGCAAAAGGCAAAGATCAGATAGTATAATTACTTAAAAACATCAGATAATATAATTACTTACAACGAGGCAGGAAATGTGACCCTTTTATTAAGACTACAAAAAATGTGGAACAAAAAGCTGGAGAATTATACTTGCAATTTGCAATATACAAAGAATCAATAACTCTAAATATGACCAGGCAGAAGCAAAATGAAGTAAAGCAAAGAAAGTATGTAAAATGCCAAGTATTCCCCACTGAAAAAGAAAAAAGTAGCAACTAAATTTGCATTAAATTATCACCAAGAGCTCAGTGTTAGTGGTATCTCTTCTACTTTTAGGGCCCGTTTGGCATGCGTTTTGTTTTAGGCGTTTTGTTTTTGGCTAAAACAAAAATAGTATTTTTATTGTAAGAGTGTTTTAAAAAATTGGAAACGATGTTTTGCTATGGAAATGTTGGAGACAGAAACATGCACAGTTATGGTTTTGGGCCATGAACGGTTGTCAAAACAAGAAAAAACATCTTTTTGGTGTTTTGGTTTTGGGCCTTTGTTCCCACGAAGTGTTTTAGCATTGTGTAAAATAAAATAAGGCCGCACCAAACATGCTTTTGTTGCCAAAATCGACACAACCCAAAAACAAAAACAGCAGAAACAAAACGCAAGCCAAACGGGGCCTTAGGTTGAGAATTCAAGTTTTCATAAGGGACAATTATTGTTTGTGCAGTTGTTTTGCTTTTAACTAAAAAGAAAGAGATGCATTAAAGTATATGCCTGTTTGTACATGCCTACCAGATTCAAAAACGATTGCTAATGTCTTATTGCAAATAACAATGTAAACGACCTCATAAACTTAGGTAAATCAATTGTGCGTTCAAGAATTCACAATTCGTAAGTCTCAATCTAAAAGCATTAACAATGTAAACAACTTCATAAAATCATTTCTGTAGTGTAAAAATGCATTGCTTTGTATAATACTATGTTTGAAGTCAAATGAATCAAAGCTGTATGAATATATATATATATATATATATATATATAGGATTTAGGGGGGGAAAATGCATCTATAGCCACAGTTCACAATCAATCCTCGACAATTATTTAGTGTTATTATTCATGAAATTCACATGAACTCAAGCAAAAGCAAATAGAACCCCAAGACCTCAAACTAACCGTAATTTTTCCCAATTGCTGCGTAGGTCTCCTCGACGGGATTCGCCAACTGCAAAAGGGTACCACCAGCGTCCAACAACAGTCCATCATATGCTCTCTTAATCAACTTTCTTCCACCTGCAACAAAGACACAAATTCACTTATTTGACACGCGCTAAAATGCGCCAGGGAAGTGAATCATTGACGGGGTCGGGGGGGGGGGGGGGGGGGGGAGTGCACTGCGCACAGTGAAAAGCACGATAAGGACGTCGCCTGACCCCACGTCTGACTCCGGCGCACGTTAGCGGCGGGACGCCCTTGCTAAAGTGCGCCGGGTCCATCGGAATTCTGGTTCCTTCAGAATCTAGTCGTTTTCTGATCGAAATGAAAGAGAACAAACCCCCTGAGGTTCCGTTTGGATGGTGAGAAAATGGATGGAAGGGAAAACAAATTGGAAGAATTGTACTATCCTCGAAGGACGACTGACCTGTGTGAATAGTAGTGGGGGACATGGAAGAGCATCGAACGGAGTTTGTGAGCTTCAAATTGAAAGGTTTTAGGGCTCTGAAGAAAGCGCAGGACTCCATAATCGGGATTCAGGTGCTCTTGATGTTGGCGAAGACCACCATGCAGAGAATTGTTCCTGCTAAAGTGAGCCGTCGAAGAAATAAAAAGAAACACTGAAATTAACAAGAATTTGGTACAAACATTGAAAAATGATAATTATTACTACAGCATATATGTTTTAGAACAACATTTGTTTCTTGTTTTTGTTGATTAGTGGAAAAAAACATATTTGATAAAATTTATTTTATTTTATTTTATGCGAAAATGTTTTGTGAACAGTGACAAAAGTCAAAATAGTAATGTTTTTACATGTTTTTGCACTACTACATATTATCAAAAATATATATATATATATTTGAAAATTTTTCAAATGACCTTTTTAAAATTAGTCTAATAATTTTTTGAACTTGCAACATGTTTTTATGTTTTTTTGCTTTTAAAAATCTTATAACGAATAGATATTACTATACATACTTTCAATTACTATTCAAAACACTTAATTTTGCAATAAAAGGACATTACTAAATATACTTCTAGTTACTATTCAAAATACTTATTTTATTAAGACATGTAAAAGTTTTTAATTAACACTGTATTCTTCTCTTCTCCCGTGACAAACAAAATAAAGTATTATTCTATCCTCTTCTCTTCCATTCAACCAAATAAAATGATGAAAAAACACAATCTCTTCTCTTCTCTAGGGCTTGTCTCATTAATTTCTTTTCTCTCTTCCATGCAATTTTCTTCCTTCGTATCAAACGGAACATAAAATAAAAACATAAAAATAAAACAAAGTCTATTGGTTTTTTAATTCCTGAAAAGGTAATCATTTTATAGGAAAAAAAACAAAGGCAACAAGTGTGAAAGAAATATTTCTATCCTACCCAGGAGGATGAGAAAGGATATTTTTGGTCCAATGATAAAGTTCAAAAGGTCAAAAAACTCTTTGCAAACACACACAGAGTGAATATATTTTGTTGCAAGTCTTGTTTGGATGATAAGAATAAGGTCCAGTAATGAAACTTTAATCAGGGATGAGTATGAGACGGCCACTATTAAGACATTCAATGTCATTTGAACCCAAAAAAAAAAACAACATTTTTTTAGGGGAGTTAAAAGATTGTTTCATTTGTAATAACCGAATAAGAGAAAGTAAAAAAGAAGAGTGTTTTTAGGGAGCACTCCATCCTCGTTCTAAATACTGGGAAGCTCTCTTTTGCAGTACAAATATCTGTCTTCTTCTTAAAAATAATGTTTAGAATCTTGAGTTTTTGTTATTCAAGATAACTCAAAAAATGATCATGAAGAAAATGAGTAGAGTTTTCCATCTTTTCTGAATGATGTAGATTGCAAATTTGTCCATTCAAAAAATGCAAGCAGAATGTTAATCAAAGCCCTCCAACAGTGCTTTTGTGCTTCAATTTTTACTTGAAGCAGCATCTCTAAATGAGCAAATTTGCAATATTGGAGATGCACACGCACAAAGATCGGAGATGAGACATTGGAGGAAAACTAAACAGACTCCTCCCTCTCTCTCTCTCTCTCTCTCAAAGCCAAAATACAGTACAGAAAATGAAAGCAAAGTCGAAATGATAGCAACTCAACAACCAAAAACATGCAGTCAATATACAGGACAGAAAATGAAAGCAAAGTCGAAAGGATAGCAACTCAACCACCAGAACCAACTGGATCAAAAGTCTCGAGTGAGCCACAAACGGAGGGGAGAAAAATTAGAAGGGTACAAGAAAAAAAACACCATAATAAGCCAGCAGTGCCGAATCTATTTGAAAAAATGCCAGGCCACGGGGTCTTGATAGGCAAGATTCCAGACTTAGCAAGTGAAAAAAAGTTAACTGCCGAGCCTCCCTGCAAATACTCCCGTTCAACTGGGGGGTGGACCTGTTGGCAAAGAATAGAGCTATTAGGACTTGCACAAGTACAAGAAATAGAGCAGCAGATGTACCAATATTGAGTAAAAATAGTCCTATCCTTGAGTCAGTCATGCATCAAAATGGTAACTTTCAACAAACAGGATCCAGTAGGTCCCCGATCAAACAATTATCATCATCATCCTTGCCTATATCCCATAGAGATGGGGTCGGCCACATGAACTTTCTTTTTCCATTCTTTTCTATTATACACCATGTCCTCTCTTACATTTAGATATTTCAAGGCATTTTTAATGACTTCAGCCCATGTGAGTTTTAGTTGTCGCCTACTTTCTATACAAACAACTCTCCCTCTTTTTATAGGTGCATCGTTGAATATGACCATGCCACCTAAGTCTACTTAACCTAATTTACCCTCACATGTTCGTTATTTATATTATCTCTTCTGGTGATTCCTATCATCTAATGTAGCATCCTCATTTCCTATCCCAACCAAACAATTATAACATCACAATTTCTTCTTATTAGGGCAACCAATAAGGCTCAAAAACTCCCTGCCAACTAAATCTAGGACACCACACAAATGCCTTTCTCTTACATACTCGTGTCTCTACAACTCTAATAATTATCATCCTATTTACAGCTTAATCAGCCCAGGAATGGAAAAAAAATATGTATATATATCACATGGTCATCAGTGCCAGGGATCATCACCCAATGAAGATTAAAAAAACGTTTGGTTTTCTAATGCTGTACCGATTGATTTTACAACTGCCTATGCACAACATTCGTATATGTGTTCACTGAATGACACTGCGATCTTCACAAGCAAGACCAAAGAATTAACATCATTATGTTTCAACTGGTAATATACAGCACACATCATAAGTCAGAAAATATGACGGTGCTTGGACGGGATGCTCAAAAATCATGCAATCCCTTAATCACACCGCAAGAATAGACTAAATTCAATACGCTAATTGCAGAATGGGCAGTCAGCAAATCCTGCATCTGAGTGAACATTTGTGTAGGCTAAAATCCGACCAATAGAAGAAACTTTACGTGACAAAAAAAAAACCGGGTGAAAATTACCATTAGATCTGCACTCTTCTGCATGGTGATGTTGAATGGTTCAAAGAGCCATATCCAAGATCAGGTTACACTCTAGCCAAAAGGATCTAAGCGTACCATCGTCAACTGGAGTTATAGGGATTCTTGGAACTTCGACAATGAAGCCCATTGCAGTCAAAACCCGAATCGAATTTAAAGGGGGATTACCAGTTCATTGACAAGAACAGAGTTGAATATTACACCCGCCTGTCCCAGAAAAGAAGACGTTAAAAATTGAAGGCAGAAGAGAGCAAATTGGAGGAAAATAAAATAAAATTAGTAGAAAAAAGGACATTCTTGGCCTTACCAGGCATTAACACCAGAAGGATTTTAAATTTCAACTCATCAAGGAGCAAATGGAGGTGACACTGCCCTATGACGAAACAACTTTGCCAGTGCTCTGCGCTCACAGTCCTGCATAAATATTAATTTATGAATGAGAAAATTCATCAATGAATTGGTTGAGTACATAATATTTTTGTTTTATGTAACAGGAAAATTCATGGTCTGGATTATGTCTCAACACACATCAACCTCAAAAAGAAACACTGACAAACAAAAGAAATAATAAAAATAAAAAATAAAAAGACTCAAAACCAAATGAATTGCACAGATTTCAGTTGAAGGGAAAGGTCAGATGTGCAAAAGATGACATTCGGCAACTTATATTTTCAATCATTCCAAATGCCAGTGTAGGAGCTTTAGTGGCAAGTATTTTCTGATATTTCGCAGGCCTAGCTGACAAATTATGTGCTCGTGTACGAGTGCAGAAAGAAGAGATATGGTTGACTTCTCTGAAATATTTTATATCTCATCTTAATAAGAGTATGGTTCAATGATATCATTAGGTCAATCAAAGAACCAATATGGACACAGTTCATGAGAAACAAAAAATATTTTAGGAATATTGTACCTTTTTTCGTACTTACTATACACATATCTTTTCACTGATACAGAATTTTTATGTATAACCTCAGAAATTAAGAATTCGGTGTACACAGAAATCAGATAATTTTTTAAACACCTTTTAGCAAATACATCACCTTAAACATATTCAGATAGAATGGTCTGTCTGGATTCATCCTCTTCAGTTTCAAGAAAGTATATGCAAAGCTCAGTTGATCACGTGATGTAAAACGATCCACTTCATTGAACCAAAGGCATGAAAATAAATTTGACATTGGTGTATGGGCCCTGACAATAAATGAACCTTCTGGGACATCTGCAAAGTAGATGACAACACAAAATCAGCTCAAATGTCAAGGGCGAATAAGTTACAGATGAAAGAAAATGTAATCCCCAAAACAGAAAGACGCCAATGACACGTACAGCTTGGAAGAGGGGTATTTGGGTCTGAAGGATCAAACTTGGTGAGACCGTCAGACTGGTAAAAAATAAATTGTTCGTCGATGGCCGTGTGATTGTACTTATTAAGACGCTTATTTTGGAGTACCTCCTCCCAGACACAGTGGCGTGTATAATGGTTTGAAATAGCATACTCAGATCCCGTTCGCCACAAGAAGTATTCAATTATTAGCATTGGATCAGTCTGAAGTCGCATCTTGCTGTCAAGCCAGATTGAATACCTATAACATAAGCATTACATGAAGAACATATATGGGTAAAAGTTTTGGGCAGTTTTAATAAAAATAATAAGTGAGACCAGCAGTTCAGAGAGAGGTAAGCATGGCACGAGAATCACCTAGAAGAAGGGAAAAGGCGATGTGATAAAAATTTTGGCACCTTTCCAGTTTTCCGCATGTCCTCGTACGGTAAGTTCCTTACAGTGACTATTCTCCATAAGCCAATATATCCACTATCATCAGGAACATTTCCCTCCATTGATAATTTCGACAGCGTCTGCTCATCCACAAACATGACGAAGCAAACATTTTTTTGGGAATATTCACTGATCTGCAACAAACAAGAAACGTTTAACATTACATAAGAGTACAAAGCAAATCATCCCGAAGCTAATGCATAAAACTTAAGCCACACGTGCTGCAACAAAGAACATATTACGGGTTCAATAAAAAGAAAAAGTTATTTCCAAAAAAAAAAATTTAAAAAGAAAAAGTTTCATTGAGATCATCAATAACTAACTAGTATGATGCAACAATATAATATTAGTCATTAGCATATAAGCTGGACAAAACTGTTCAGTCCTCAAAATGTCACTACAGGGTCAGGATTCTTAAAAACAGGCATATTTATGTGAGAAAACCAAATGAACAACAGGAGTAAGAAGAGAAATCCATTACTATGTTGAAAAAGAATGAATAAAAAATTAGTGACATGTCCAGTTTTAAGATACTGATCAAATTATATATCAAACGATGATTTCTATCCATGTACATTAAAAAATTAAACTAAACTCCTATTATCGCAAACTTCAAGCAAAACGAGTATCTACTTCCACACTACAGGAGATCTCTCTTGATTTCTGGTTCTCTCTTAAAGTTATTATCTATTCCCTATCCTTTTTCGTTAAGCACTGAAATCTAAAAATTATCTTGGAGGATTCTCATGTCTCATCTTGTGGCTAACTGTCATTTTCGGTCACCAAGGAGAAAGGCAGAATTAATAGGTAAGGAAGACCAAACTATCTCATTAAAAGAGAGAGAAGAAAGAAAGAAATATCTCATTTAAATGACAGTGCAATACGGAGTGTGTTAGATCACCACTTGCGCTAAAAGCTAAAGCTGCTAGAGAATGGGCCCAATAATGTATTTTAAGATCTCAACACCCTCCCTCACGTGCAACTCCAACTTGCATGGGGCAAGGCAAACAAACCATACCAACACCGTAACAAGTGAAAATTTACACACCAAACCAGGGAACAAATGCCAGAGATCAAGACTTGAACAACCCAAGACCTCCCAAAAAAAAAATAAAAAAAAAACCAAGGCTCTTATACCATTTTAATTACCATATGCTCCAAAAGCTTAAGGTTCTAGAGGACGGGCCCAATAATGTATATCAAGCTCTCAACAGTGTAGACTTACGGGAGCATCATCCAGCTAAAGAAATTCAAAAACGAATTTGACCAGATGCTGTCACATACCCACTTATTATGTACTGTGAAAGTTATGCGACTTAAAGAAAGTAGCTCACTGCTTGGTTCACTGTTTAAAGCTACAGCTGCCAGCCTATAGGACTGCAAATATGAAGGATTGAAGGTAAGGTTGCACCACATCCACCCAATCCAACACCTCGAATTAACAGAAACATCCTCAAGCAGTGGACTTTTAAGTGTCTTACAAAGAAAAAGAAAAAAAAACTCATTTACCAGTTTTCTGGTAGGCCTCCTCAAGAAGTCAGAGCTTCCAAAAATGCAAGAAGATACCACAACACTGCATGTATTCATGTATGTTATGTCCTTCTCATCCAAATCAAATCCAGTGCTTGGATATCCTTCTGGTCCTTTAATAAATCCACAATGAATTGTTTGATTTCTTGCATTAAAGGATGTCTCTCGTTCTTCAAGGGTCTGATGTCCTCCAAATCTGGGCACAAATGGATCGTTGTCGGAAATTTTCTCCTCTCTTTCAATGTACCCAATTGAAAACCGTTTGAATTTTGTAGAATGCGTGGGCTCAACAAGATAATCAACGAAGTCTAAAAGTCCAACCTCACAAGGAACAAACCCTGAAGATTGGATATGGAGGGGAAACAATGAAAAGCTCAGGCATGTTGTCAAAACAAGTACAAATAAATGTATTGACAAATCTAAATAAAGGATCAAACAAGTATTAAACTGTAACTTAGTCAACATAAAGTCAAGCATAGTGGAAACAATGCATTTACATGGAAATGAACTACTGAACTATTAACATTGAATTTTCACTTTGCACATTACAATTTACATGTGAAGTAATTTCTTTCAGCCAATTGCTTGTATCCTAACATGAATAAGGACATGACATCACTTATCAAAAAAATAATGACATGTCATCAAGTGATTGCAAATAAAAGGGAATATATCGGCCCAGATCAGATTACCTCCACTTTTCACAAGGGCTAGAAATAAAAATTAGCACTAATCACAAGATATAGTCCATCCAGAAATATCAGTCAGTCACCTATTTTAGCAACTGGTGCATTTTTTGTTCCTTTTTTACCCAATTTTCTAGGATGCTGGGCAGGAAGAATCTAATTTAAACATTCATATCTAATTCTCCCTTTATCTCAAGCAGCACTAGTTCTTGAAAGGTTAATTATCTCAAATATCTCATGATAACAGTGGGTAAAATTGCTGGAAACCACTAGGAGATCATTTCAACCAAACAGTCCAAAAAAATGCAATAATAAGGTCTCATTCTTATTTAGACTTAAAAAAAAAGTTTCATTCTTCAACGTTTTGAATGGACAGAGTTAGAGATGGTGAAATATTATGGTTGACTGCAAGCGGAGTTGCTAATACTTGTTAACAATATGAGGTAATATTGATATGTATGAATCAATAATTTAATTAAAATACCTTGAATCTTCCATAGTCAAATTGCGAGGCAATTAGTTCGAAGTGATCTAAAAATCCATAAGCAAATCATTTTATCTATCAGCACATGAACAAATTATAGTAATTTTTTGTAATAAAAACTATTATGGTCATATTTGATATAAATTTATATATATATATATATGTAGCTAGTTTAACTAGCAAATTTGACCATTGGGCATAAGGGTGCCTGTATTTACATGTTATAAGTGTGTATCAAACTTGCAGTTTTATAATATTCAAAAAAATATCTAGTTAAAGTTCCAACATCTTTCTCAGCACGCTACAGGCAGCCCTTTGCCTATATTAATTTGTCCAAAATCCAAATATGGGTGTTATGCGTGTGTGGGTGGGTGGATGGGCCTGTGGGAGCAACATATTGTTCTGCATTATGCCGTATTTATTAAATTTGAGCCTACCAGCTACCTTGGCATCTGTAGGTTTTGCTTTCAGATTCTGAGCATTTCTTTCTGCTTTTAAGTTTCCATGGGTTTTCCTTTCTAAAAACATTTCTATATAATTTTTTTTTTAACAAAATCAGATTTACCTCTGAAGAGCAATCTTGAACTAAGTTTTTTCCACCTCTATATATCCAACTTCATCATCTACAAAATTGTTCCCTATAGTGCACACTGCATTCACTAATTTAGACATGCCATGCCAATTTAGCCAAAAAGGCCCGGTACAAATTTTCATTGGAGTTACACCTTGGAAGGTTTATTCCTTTTGCAGAAATTTAGATGCAACTTCTAGTTCACAAATGCATGTAATCGCAAAGCCAGAATAACAGAGAAACGAATTTGATAAGAAATTATTTGAAGCAAACTGAATTTCGACCATTAATACTCTAGCCGCAGTTTGCATGGTAAATTTAATCTTTCTAAGGAGGCATTTGGAAGTTGAACTTGATAGTTAAAATCTATTTTGGAACATTAATTGAACACACTGATTGTATAATGTGTCCATACCTAACAGAGTCAACACTTAAGAGAATGTATAAGTCAAGAATGACTTTGACACATCAAATCTAAAATTACTTAGGCACTTAAAAAGCTGTCCCCCATTTAACATAACAATGTAAGCACACACATGCAAATACATTCTCCAAAGTTTAAATGTAACCCTCATAAGAACTGTTTTATCAAAAATATTAAAGAAAAGCACATTGAATTGTTAGTTGAACGTCAAAGTAGTTCAAAAGCAATATTTTAATCGTTTGGATTTTCAAGTTCTAATATCTACCAGGCGAGTCCCATGAGGTGCTTGCTAGATATTAGAGTGACCAAATTCAATTTTCTAACATTAAAATTAAGCAAGCTCGTAGACTATAAAACAAAATAAATGAGAAAAGTAATAAAATCACAACACTTACGTGGTCTATGGGGCTTCATTATTGGTTGTTGCATGGCATCAAGTCCAAAAAATTCTTGTTGTCCTCTCAGTGATGAAATTCCACCTTCCATTTTACATGCAAAACCAATATAATGTATTCACAATAGTAAGGGCGAAAGAATGATAATGAAATTCTTAAATTATGCTTCTGGACAGGGACATAATTAGTATACCAATAATTTTATAATCATGATATAATGAATAGAAGAAGACATCTTCAAATTGGCAAAATTTAAGCATGAATCAGTTACAAAAGCTTAATAGCATTAGGACAATTGAGAATGGTGATAGCTTTAGATTGCCACATAATGTATTACATACATGTAGATATGTAGAGAGATGAGAAAGAGGTACCAAGTATATCAAGAATTGCAGTAACAAAACTGTTATCTAGTCATCATTCATCGTTAATAATACTTTTATATTACATTATGGGATATATTAATATATCAATGTAAAGGATGTTACACCTTCATAATGGTAATTTAACAGTTTCTGGTGCTTCAGCAATAGATATAAAAAATCATAATTAAAAATTCAAGAGTTAATGGCGAAAGAGAAAATGCTATAGAATAACAAGTACAGATCAAAAGTGTGAACCTTGTGTTCTTTCAAAAGAGTAAGGAAGTATATCAACCTCATCAAACAAACAAACATGGTAAACTGAAAGTCAGAATCAAGGATTTAATCCAGTGAATTTAGTGCTGTTATGATTGTTGATTCTGTGATGGTAGATTAATAGCAAAGTTAATTATGATTACTTATTTGAAATACATTTAAAACAAGAAACCTCTTTAATCTCACCATGACAGGGCATCTTTAAGCCGAAAATTGATAGATAGATAGAGAAGAGCACTGCAAGCGAGAACACCCAAGACAAGAACCTTTGTAAAGTAATCCGACCAAACCTCGTCCCACGACGAACAAACTGCAAACCGTGCTTGCTTCGATCAAGAGAGTTGAGAACTGCCCCAATGATGCCTCTTCTATCATGTAACAATTCGCTGCTGTGCCTATAAAGAGCCATCACACCTTACCTTCCAACCCTCAGTAGCAAACCAGTTTAACTGCAGATCAGTTCCAATGACAAGTGCAACAAAAGTTACAAATCTAACAAACGAATTAAAAACTTATATTCCTTTTGAATAAAGAATTAAAAACTTCAAATGCTCAAATACTATACATATATGTGCATATCAAATGATAGATTCACACATACATACACACAATCTAAGAACAAAAGCAACAGCAAACAAAGAATAATGGCCACAGTGTTCATGAAATTTATGATTAAAATCAAGAGTCAAAAGCACAGATTCATGTGTAGATAGAGCATTGAGAAGTGAAATTTGCAACAATTCATTGAATTAGTTTGTGAATACATACAGATGAGAACAGTGATGATGAAATAGAAAAAATGAGAAACTGGAGGTTAAACGATTAACTCATCAGAGAGATCTATCACTCGAAATCAGACTCGCAAAACCATCACTCCTTACCTTATTCCATACTTTTGAACGAGGAATAAAAACATCAAATGCAAAAATATATGTAGCAAATGATAGATTCATAGGCACAGGCATAAATATAAGACCAAAAACAACAGCAAACAACGTATAATGGCCACAGTATTCATGAAATTTATGATTAAAATCAAAAGCCGAGAGCATAGATTCATGCGTAGATAGAACATTGAGAAATGAAATTTGCAACAATTCATTGAATTGGTTCGTGAATGCATACAGATGAGAACAGTGATTACACAAATAGAAATGAGAAATTGGAGGTTCAACAATCAACTGATCAGAGAGATCTATCACTCGAAATCCAACCAGCAGAACCGTCACACCTTACCTAATTCCTTAGTTTTGAATAAGGAATTAAAAACTTCAAATGCGCATATATATAGCAAATGATAGATCCATACACACACAAACAATTCTAAGAACAAAAGCAACAGCAAACAATGTACAATGGCTATCGGCTACAGCATTCATGAAAATTATGATAAAAATCAAGAAATGAGAGCACAGATTCATGTGTGGATACTTGATAGAACATTGAGAAATGAAATTTGCAATAATTCATTGAAATAGTTTGTGAATACATACAGATGAGAATCTATCACCCGCTCAGAGAGATCTATCACTCGAAATCGAACTCACAGAGCCATCACACCTAACCTAATTCCTTGCTATTGAATAAGGAATTAAAAACTTCAAATGCGCATATATACATAAACATAGCAAATGATAGATTCGTGTACACATACACACAAATCTAAGAACAAAAGCAACAGCAAACAATGTATAATGGCCAGAGTGTTCATGAAAGTTATGATTAAAATCAAGAGACGAGAGCACAGATTCATGTGATGATGCAAATAGAATGAATCAGAAATTGGAGGTTAAACGGTCAACTGATCAGAGAGATCTATTGCTCGAAATCGAACTCGCAGAGCCATCACGCCTTACTTAATTCCGTACTTTTGAATAAGGAATTAAAACTTCAAATGCGCATAGATATTATATATATATATATATATATATATAGCAAATGACAGATTCATATACACACAGCTACGAACAAAAGCAACAGCAAACAAAGTATAATGGCTACAGCCTACAGTATTCAAGAAATTTATGAAAAAATCAAGAGATGAGAGCATAGATAGAGCATTGAGAAATAAAATTTGCAACAAATCATTGAATTAGTTTGTGAATACATACGGATGAGAACAGTGAAGTGAATTGAATGAACGAGAGAAATTGAAGGTTAAACGATCACCGGATGAGAGAGATCTATCACCGGAAATCGAGCTCGCGCTGAGCAGCGGCGAGTATGCTTCACGACTGCTTGGAACGGTGATCTCTGTTTCGAGTCTGGTCCTAACAGTGGTATTGCTTCACTGCTAACAGTAATGCTGCCCAGCTCAACTGAAAAAATAGGGCCACCAAGAGACACGAAATTTTATTTTTCTTTTTTTTTTTTTTTCTTTCTTTGAGCATGTGTAACGGCCGGTTCGAAAGCCAGACCTTCCGAATTCGTCCCAAGCCACTATACCTAAGGACGAGAGACGAAATAATACTTGACCCATATATGTATATATTATTTACTTATGAGCAGAGATGGCAAAATTGGATCAAGTCGCTCATATTTGTCCCTTTGAATGGTTTTGAATGAATCATATTTAAAAGGGTTAACTTCATTGACACCCCTTGAGGTATGTCTTAATTTCAAGGAGATCCCCACGTTTGCAAAAATTTAGTCAGACATTATCGACGGACAAAAATTAATAAGTGAATGAAATGACTAAATTGTCATTTTGTCGTTTTCCTCTGTACACTTAACCAAACCAAAGTTTGTACAACTTTAACTCAATTTTGCTTTAGCTTGTGAACCAAACACCTTATAATCACAGTGGCCAAACACTTGAATCCACTTTACTTCGTTAACCAAACTTAGGTTTTGCAATTTCATTTTGTGGGCTAACCCTTGATAGAGAGGTAGAGAGAAGAGATAACAGAGAGGTATAGTTCGTATGTGAAGACATCGATTTTGGTTGATACGTACACCGAATACGCTTGATAAAACAACATATCTGCAGATAGTTGAAGGTTCGAAGGGGAAACATTTGTTTGATTTGAAGCTGTTGAGAAAAAATCGCGATTTGGAGGTATGAATTTTGTCTTTCTAAAAATTGATTTTGGTTTTAGTTGATAGGGGGTTTCGGGTTTGGAAAAATAGGTTTCTTTTTTAGTGTTTTCTTGTTCGGTTGTTTTGGTTTGGGGGTTTAGGGTTTGTTAAATTTATATCTGTAATTGAGGATCTTGATTTGGGGGTTTAGGGTTAGTTTTTGAGTTTCTTTGTTGGGTTTGTTGAATTGTTAGATTGTCTGTAAATTTAGGATCTTGATTTTTTTCAATTTGTCTGTAAATTGTTTGATTTAGGGGTTTTATTTAAAAATGCATGAATTTGTTTAATTTATGTTAAAATGTCTGTAATTTGAAAATGCATAAATTTGTTCAATTTGTCTATAATTTCTTTGTTTCAATTGGCCAGTACCTTATTTATGTCATTTTTGTTTATATTTCTTGTTATTTGAATTATTGACAGTGATGGGAGATATTTATCATAATTTTCACGTACACTACAAGTCAAAATGTAGAACTGTTAATCATGTAGACCCTGATAAGTATGGTTTGTATGATTTCTTGGATGGCATAAGTAGAGTTGTTCTTGAGGATTATCCTGGGGGTTTGGGGTTTACCTATGCTATATACTGTGATGTTCCTGATTCTTATTCTAAGATGTTGGTTGAGAATGAAGCTGATTAGTTAGACATGTTATACTTAAATAGTGAAAGAATTAACATTAATGTGTATGTTGAGATAGAAGAAGTTGAACCCTTAAATATATCAACTGATATGGATGACCCTTATGAGGATATGGATTATGGAGTGGATGCTGAAAATAGTGAGGGACTGCGTGAAGAATATGATGAGGAAGTAGGTGATGAAAACAATGAGAAAGAGAATAGTGATGTGGAGAAAGATGATGTGTATGATTTTAGGAAAGAGAATCAAGATTGGATGGCAGAAGGTGATACGGATTATGTTGAAACTGACATTGATAGCTCAGATGATGAGTATGTAGGGTTTCAATACAATGATGAAGACTACAATGTGGACTGTAAGGATGGCCTATCAGATTATAAGTCAAATGATGAAGCACATTCTGATTCAAGTGTAGAGATTGGTGTGAAATATCCAAAAAGAAATAGATCAAAGAGCAAGGATTGGGATAAAAATTCCAAAGGGAAGGAATATGTAAAGGTGAAAGGACAACCTATAAAACTTGAACAATATTTGTTGTTTCAAAATGTGAAATATTTAAGAGAGGTGTTGACAGATTATACAATCCAAGAAGGGTTTCAAATTAGAAAGACCAAAAATGAAAGTTCAAGGGTAACTTGTGTTTGCAAAGCCAAAGATTGTCCATGGAGGATCCATGCCTCCCCACTGCCTTGTAAAACTTACATGATAAAAACATACAATGACAATCATTCTTGTGTGAGGGGTGATAAAAATCCATTAACCAGTTCTACATGGATTGCAAAGAAGTTTTTTAAGAAACTCAAACAAAACCCACAAATGACAGTTGAAAGTCTGAGAACTTCACTGCATGAAAAATATGGCATTAGGGCAAAGAAACAACAATGCTATTGGGCAAAAAGAAAGGCATTGGATGTGATTGAAGGTAACCATGGGAAGCCATATAGTTTGCTGCCCTCCTATAAGAATGAAATTAGGAGGACAAATCCTCATAGTTTGGTCACACTTGATTATTATGATGCTGAATTCAATGGAGTCAATAGATTCAGAAAGATTTTCATTGCTTGTGATGCTTTGAGGTCTGGGTTTATAAAAGGCTACAGGCCATTCATTGGGTTAGATGGCTGTTTTTTAAAAGGCCCACATGGTGGAGTGCTTTTGTCAGCTGTGGCCTTGGATGGCAATAATGGTTTATTCCCCATTGCCTATGCTATGGTAGAAAGTGAAGGAAAGGAGACCTGGACTTTCTTCTTAGATAATTTGAAGGATATTCTTGGTGCAGATGCACAAGCTAGACATTGGACAATTATGTCTGATATGCAAAAGGTATAATTTTTTTCTTTAACTTGTTTATTATTATACAGTTCATTATTACTTTTAATTTATTTTATTTTGCATTTCAGGGTCTTGAGGTTGCAATTTCTAACTTGTTTCCTGAGGCAAGCCATAGGATATGTTGTAGGCACTTGTTTAACAGTTTTAGGAAGGATAATCCTGCTTGTTGTTGAAAATATTTTATTGGAAGGCTGCTAGATCATGCAATGAACTTGAATTTAATGATGCAATGAATCACATGAATGAGATTTCTATAGAAGCTCATGATTAGCTAATGGACAGGCCTTTAGAAATATGGTCTAGGGTGGGGTATAGTGAGACATCAAGGAGTGACCATATCACAAACAATTTAACGGAATCCTTCAACAATTGGGTTGGTCATTATAGGTGTAAGCCAATCTTGAATATGCTTGAGTGGATTAGGATAAAATTAATGGTGAGAATCCAGAAAATGTATCAAAAAGCTTTAGCTTGGAAGGGAAATTTGACACCAAATGCCTTAAAAAAATTAAACAAATCCATTCAAGAATCAAGAGGGTGCAGAGTTTGTCCTGCTGGGAGGGAGGAGTTTGAAGTCCATGAAGTAGTGGGAGTAAGTGTGATTAATTTGAACTTGAGGACTTGCTCATGTAGAGCATGGTAGATATCAGGAATACCTTGTAGGCATGCAGCTGGTGCTATTTCATGGAATAGGCAGGATCCTAAGCAATATTGTGATCCTTGTTACACCAAGGACACATACCTACTTGCCCACAGTGGGATGATTCATCCTTTGATGGATGAAAAGTTGTGGCCAAAAACTCCATCAAAGGATGAGAAGTTGTGGCCAAAAACTCTATCAATTGACTTGTACCCTCCTAAACTAATAAGATTACCTGGTAAACTAAGAAGAAATAAAAGAAGGAAACAAGGTGAACCTGCCCCTGCAAGTGCAATACCTAAGAGATCATCATGTAACATGCAAGTATTACCTACAAACTGGTCATAATAGGAAGACTTGCCAGAGAGCTCAAACAGCAAGAGAAAGAGCTACAGCAGCAAGAGGGAGGGCTGCAAGTGCAAGAGGAAGAGCTCAAACAGCAACAGTGAATGTTTCAGCCAATTTTAAACTTGCTATGTTTTCAAAATTTTCTTTTATTACTGATTTATATACCTTCTAATTGTTAATTTAGGGAAACATATGTTCTCAAACTCAAGGATCAGAAGGAGCAGGAACTTCTGGAGTTACACAACAAGTATAAGTCCTTATTTATGTTCACTATAACAAATTTTCAATTCTATGATTACCCAATACTGTACTTTTTTTGTTTAAATTTTTTCCAGTCCTAAACTACTAGGAGAGGTGGAAGAAATATAAGTGCAAGAGGTGGAAGAAATGTACGTGCAAGAGGAGCTTCTCAACCAAATGTGAGTGGCATTGGTGGTCGTTCTCAACAAAATGTGAGTGATATGGGTGGTGCTTGTCAACCAACTGTGACTGGCATGGGTGGTGCTTTTTAACCAACTGTAAGTGGCATGGGTGGTGCTTGTCAACCAACTGTGAGTGGCATGGGTAGTGCTTCTCAGCCAAATATGAATATGAGAAGTTGTTCACAACCAATTCAGAGTGGTAGCAGAGTTGGAAGACAGCCAAACCAGAGTGGTAGCAGAGGTGGAAGACAGCCAAGTCAGAGTGGTATTGGTGTTAATCTTCCACCATGGGTAAGCAATAAATTACCTAATATTTATCCTTATACATATTAATTTATTGTTGCATTACTATTCTAATCCTGACATTCAATTACAAAGAGGGTAGCAAAAGAAGTACCAAGGAAAGAAACACAGACTGCTAGCAGTTGGGGACTCATTTGGGTTTTATTCACCACACAACAGTGAGTTGGTTTTTGATGTTTTTTATTCCAATGTTCTAATGGTTTAAGGAATTCTGTATTAAATATTGACTTGCTTTGTTTGAAACTTGAAACTTTTAAGTTGTGGTTGACATTGGTAAAATATTAACCAATTCAAAATGTTCTAATGGTTTTAGGATCTCAGTAATAATGATGTTTGCTTTGTGGTTGTAATGCATGTGCAGTGGTAATAAATTAATGATGCTTTCTATGGTAAATGTACTCAATATAGGTCAATATTTATTGCATCATTTTATTTGAAATAAATAGTAAATACAAGTATCTTTAAATACAAAATAGCTATTTCAACAACTTGTAACCTTGAATTCATAGCTTGTCTCTGCAACCTCAATTCAGCAACAACCTCAAGCAGAAGTTGATTTGCAGGTAAATACTCCTCAGCAGCACCAACACTAGTAACAGCAGCAGCAATAGAACCATCTATAGGTTACACCATTCCCAAAAACTATATGTCTGATTTTCACAAGTATAATACAACCTTCATTTGTTGTGATTTTTG